TACTACTACTGCTGCTTCTGCTTCTGCTTCTGCTTCTGCTTCTGCTTCTGCTTCTGCTTCTGCTTCTGCTTCTGCTTCTGCTTCTGCTTCTTTTACTACTTCTACTAGTAGTCGTCAAGCGTGCTCGCAAGAATCCCTGAGACAAGGAGCCCGGGCTACAACACCCTTCCCGAATGGGAGAAGCCAAAGAATGGCTTCGAGGGTGCCACTCGCCGGAGCTGGTCAGGGTGGGTTTTGGAACATATTTCGATGCGAGTGGAAGCTCACAGTTCCTCACTCCGAACCATGTTTGTTCTATCCGAAACAATTCATAGCCTACGCAGGCCTCCCATAGTGGTGGAACGATCTTCTTGTTTCACCCGGTCGTTTTCTGTTGGCAGTGTTGCCGTCTAGGCGGTCTGCAGTGTTTGCCACGGGCTTGGAATGATATTGGGTTGGTTGGACACTTCAGCTTTGTCCTTTACGCGGCTCTGACGCCTTTCAGGCTGAGGTCGAGCATGGCATGATGCTTTTCTCAAGCAGTAGTGAAGCTTGAGTGCGCCACCCCGCGGAGCCTGTAGGTGCATTTGACCGATCATAGTCCAGGGTGGGGCGCAACATGGTAGAGACGGGACAAATTCGAACACAAGCGGTCTTTGTTGATGTTATAACAGTCAGAGGTGCTTTGAGGAGTCAAAGGAAAGAAAGTAGGCCCCCTCTAACAGACAATGTGGAAAGGCACCTGACGATGGTCCATGGATGTACATCGGCAAGCTTTGCTTACTTGTGCCTTTCCCAAACTGCCCAACATTGTGGGGTTCTGACGTCCTGTCAGTACAGAGGATCTGCTCATGGTTACTGTACTATGACCGCGAGGCGTGCTCATACAATCCACACTGCCATTCTGCGGTTCTCGTTGTGTCGCGGTGAAACTCTCTGAAGTCGCACTCTTTCCACAGTGCCTCTGCCGCCACATCCTCCACAGAGACCCGCTTAGTCATGGTAGATTCCAGTACTTGAGCGCTTGCGGTCCGGTCTCTTTTTGGTCGTCACATCACACGAGTTCCCTGAGATTGTGTTTCCGCCACAGTGCCGTGTGCATTTTGGGATGTGCATCGCCTTCCCGCTGTCCTACCCGAAATCATGCTCCACTACGGTGCCGTGCAGATTTTGGCTTCGACTCGTGTTTCTGCTCCAGAAAGTTTTACTACCGCCAAATTTTGCCGCAGTGCTGTGATGTGCTGTGTGTGTGTGCCAATCACGCTGCCGCCTACCGCCACACCGTGGTGCGCAGTTGGGCTCGTGGGGATGGTTTGGGATGCCTTGGGGTGCTTCGGTAGTGGTTCTCGGGGACTCTAGCGCTTGGAATGCTTGATGCTCTTTCACTGTTTGAGAACTATGCTCTGCACAATCTGCTGAGCTGACAAGACTATGCTCTCGCAAGCAGAACCCGACTTTCCGAATAAGAAGTATCCCCGAGCCTTCAACTTTGCACTTCAACTTCCACAAACAAAGCTTCAGCCGAGTTGAACGGAGATCAAGCTCCACTGGGATTCTGGGACCCCCTTGGCCTTAGCAAGGACCAGGACGTAGACGCTCCGTTGGACTTGGATGGAATTGCGATTCGTTCTTCGGGATGGGGATTGGTGATTCTGAGATAAAACGGGGATCCAGTGCTCGGGCAAGTGTCCATCTTCTTGCTGCAGGCATCGCAGTAGCAATGTTTGGCAGGAGTGTCATGCCCTCTGGCTTTTCAGGATGCAGCCAACCTTTCGACTTGGCGAGATTCTCTTTAAATTTCCGCAAACGGTTATCCTGCACTTGCCTTAACTTCCATAATGTCACGGGCAGTGATGAATTTTGCATCCTTTCGTCTGTGTGCATCGAGAGTGGCCAGTCTGAAATCTGAAACTAACCTAAGTCCAAGTCATCACTGTCCAGCTCTAAGGAAGTGTTCAAAAGGCGCCGCGAGACGGAGATTAAGCACGGCCGCGCCGTGGCACAAATCGTAGTGAATATTGCGTTGGGTTGCAACTTTGCATACATGAGTTCATCCTTTTTGGTTGAGGAGCGTCGTTCAAGGCTTTTGTCAGGTTCAGGCCTTTCGTCGTGTCTTTGTTGAACATGTCGAAGTGCAGTTCTGAGGTTCCGGAGGGTGTAGGGCGATGGACAGCTGACGTCCTCTTGTCCATCCCGAAAACCGCAGCATCTCAGTACTCACTTCAGTCGTGCCGGCCGTATGGCGGGGCTACGAACCTCAGGAAGAGTCGCCGTCTGGCTTTACTGAAGACCGGTTTCCGTTTGCACGGCATCTCACCATTTTATTCTTCGGTGGGGTAAGGTTTTTCGTTGTCGCTCCGAACCGTCCAACCCTTCAACCTAAATCTCAAGCCCAACGGCTGCGAGGTGTTGCCATGTTCGCAACCATCGGTCCGGAGACACAGAACCCGTGCTGGCTTTTTGGGCTTCTGGTGTGACCTGCAGTATTCCGGAAACAGTTTGTAGAGACGAGCTCTCAAGCGCTGTCCTTTAGGGATTTTTTTTGAGTTGTCTATGCATGTCAGGTGTCAGGAGGGTAGAGGGTTCCCATCTTATTCGCGGTGTCTCCTCGATGGCTTGTGTAATTAGCTGTTCTGGTCTGGGGGTTCCAGTCCCGAACACAACGCGAGGGTATCAGCCACTGCTGCCAGGCATTCTCGAACCCAGGGACAGACTTTGTGTTTAATCTCCATTCTTCAGACATTTATTCGGAGCTACCTGGCGAGGCTATATTGTGCCGGAGTACTACAAATTCCCCGGCTTGCTGTCTCCGTCGCAGGGACTGAAGTTCGCTGTGGCTTGCCCTTAAAGAGACCGAAAGCCCGAGATACAGTTAGCAGCAACACGGATTTGTTCAACTGCATCGCAAGCTGAGCTGCGGCTACCTTATTGGTGTTGGACTTTATTCCATGGCATTCCGGTGCATTGCGATAGTCAGGCTTCTGGGAACTCTCATCTCCTTGATTTCTCCAGGGCTAGATCACAGCCTTCAGAAGTTTCCTTCCCTGTTAACTGTTAGCCGTTTGAGGCACTTTGCGCATTCACGGCTCGGAAGGGTTTCAAGCCTTGGCCCGTTTCAGATGAGGGTCTCAGATGTTGGGGCCTGTGCATCCATCTTCGATCTTTAAGTTGGCTCACCAGGACCCAAAGCTCCCAGCAAACGAGAACAAGCGCTCGGTATCTTCGAATGTCTTTAGCCGAGGATGTGCCGAATGGACTGAAGGCGCTGCCTGACAGCACTCGCAGAACAGTTAACGTGATTTAGGTGGTTTTGGGGCCTCGGTGCTGTCGCGCTGGCTCCCACGGGAAGTCATCCGAGTAATTTAGAAGGAAAGCAGGCGGCATTTTTCAAGCAGGCCCTGGACACTAGACTTAGACCTTCGATATGGTAAACCCAGAACTTGCCTGTAAGATTGAACTTATGTCATTCCCAACCGCAATGTCTCAAGCCTGAGTGGGTTAGTGTCTACTGTACTAGCGAGATGGGCATGGGGAGCATTCTCTTTCGTGAAGATTGTGTTGCACAGCTTTTAGGGTCGAGCTGGGCTTCGGCTTCAGTTCGGCCACTTACGGTGCCAAGTCAGAAGTTTGAGTTTGCACATTTGCAAGTTACAAGATTTCAGGAGATTTGAGTTTTATTCGTTAAGTTTGGGCAAACCTGGGTTCGCTTGACAGAGCCAAGACCTCCAAGCACAAAACTTCAAACATGAACACCGAAAGACCAGGATTGAATTCAAGCCATACAATCAACATCCTACTGCCTGTTCATTACAAATGCAACGGTACACGATGCTTGATATTTCATATATTGAGCTGCATCAGAAAAGTTGGCGAGTTTACGTGGCTATCACGCACGAGACAGGGTTTCGATTCTCCTATGCGGTGGTTTTCTCGAAACTGAGAGCCATGCAAGGGCTAAGCTGCGTCGCCTGAATCTAAGGCTCTCAGTGGTCCCGAAGGAGGGTTGGGCACAGTGGCTTGGCTCACAGTCACTGTTGCCAGGGTGGGTTTGAAGGTTGACAGACCAGAGGGTGGCTTCATCTGGGAAGCGGATTGGAGGACGGCTGAAAAAGGTGAGTGGAACTTGAAGGTGGTCGATACTTTTGGGAAAAATCTGATGGAAGATGGGACGAAAGATACTGAACAGACACCGCAGAGTAGTCCGCAGCAGCAGCTCTGAAGATGAGGCAGCAGGTTCCTTCTTGTTTTTGAAATCGGCAGCGTCACCTCGGGAAAGAGTACGAGTTTGATTCTCACCTGCTCCACGCTGCAAGGAGTGCAGCTGTGTGTATCTGATTACATTGCACAAAGCATCTATCAAATTGGAAACCGGCAGACAAGCCCAGGCAGGCGAGACATCGATACTTCTGTGTACAATCATGAAAAGCAGCGCCCACACTATGTGAGGATTTTGGCCTTCGCTGGCTTCATTGAGCTTGTAGCGCCTCCGCAGCAGAAGCAGGACTCAGGATTTCGACACTGGCTTCGCAGATGAGAGAACCAGCATGTGTTCCTGAAACAGTGATGCATGCATCGACGGTTGCATCGCTTGCTGCGTGGTATTCGGACAGACCAGCTCGCAAGGTCAACAAGAAGACTTCCGAGCCAGGAAACTACGGCAGCCTGGCATGCTGGATTTCTGACGTTCAAGTTCTGTGTGGGTTTACATTGGCCACATCTTTCTAGAACGGTGAGTTTCCAAAAAACATGCCATAGATAGGGTCCACAAACCTTCTCTGTCCACACCCAGGAAAAGGTTTCCTTGGGCTCGGAGCCGTCGGCTTCGGCAGCTCCATCAACGACCCCGCGGCTGCGGGGGAGAGGGGAGAAAGTTTGGGCGACACAAGATAGGGTTTGCAGCCTTTGCACACAGAGCGCCCATGCAAATTTAGGGGTCAGGTAGAACGTCTGTTCAAATGACAGTCCTTGTGTCATTGACGACTACTCTATTATACAATATAGATTTATTTCAACATTGATAAGGTTATGAGCACTCGGATTCCTCAAGCTTTTATTGAAGAGTTGGTTAAGTCCAACTTATCACTTTTCATTTAGCCAGCGTGTTGCAACTGGGCAGAGAAGCTGCGGCTTTCTGAGCCCGTGCAAAACAGTGCCCCGTCAGTTGCGCGCGAAGAAGCTCTCGGCAGAGATTGCAAACGGCAGATTGGCGCAGCTTGACTCGACAACACCCATGCAATCTGACATGCTACATGTCTTGTGAGCCGAACACAGAAAGCAGCGCCTACCAATAAGTGATAAAATTTCGATTTCTCTGCATCTTGCTAAGACGACATATGCATGGCGCATGATCACGGAAGCTCGCCCACAAACTCTTGTTCAGTGGTGGCTTTACATGTTATCGGTCCGTCGGTTCTCCTGTTTCAGAAAGTAGGATCTGAGGCCTCTAAACTTGGGAAGTCCCAGGCGAACCGTTCCTCTGTACTAGTCCCGGGCGCAAGGCCTTCTGTTCGGCTCAGCTGGTCCTTGCGAAGCAGTTCGTTCAATGTCGCTTAATGGCTTGGTACTTCATCTGAGGATGATGGCAATTATCGGAATGTTCTTCCAGGCCTTGTCGGGATGAACGTGTCATTGGCCAAGTTGGATGTGTTTTAGATCGGCAGAAAGAATCTGCACACAGTGTAGATTTTGCCCAAGGGTTTTCTCAGTGCAGACTTTAAGCAAAGAAGTCGAACAGACAACCCACGGCTTCAACCCGTCGTAAAGCACGCACGCACGCACGCACGCA